CCCCAAAACCCCAAAACCCCAAAACCCCAAAACCCCAAAACCCCTCTTCTCACTTCCTTATTGATTATCAAAATTACCATAAAAAGGTATTATTCTCTCTCTCGTTTGTTCCCCTCTTCAGACTCGGTTTCTTCTTCAAATTCCCTGACAGCTTCCAGCGAGGCTGCTCCTTCCTCTACAAGAATATTTTCCTGAACGAAGATATTTTTCTTCGTAGTATTACAAGATATTTCTTCACTGGCACATGGAGAGTCAAGGTAGTTATTCTTCATAGTCTCCTCATCATCAACACGAGATGAATAATTCGATCAGTTGTTGTCATTGTGCAACTCTGGAGAATTATATGAGGTAAACTTCCCCTCTTCATGATTGAAGTCCATGATCCTATCAAAGTTCTCCTGCTTATTTTAACTCTAAAGAAGCATTAGGGACGAAGGAAGATCACCATACCGATATTTTGATCCTGTATTAAGGAATTGTCCTGAGAATTCACCCTCCCAATCTTAACATATTCTCGAGAATTTGTTCCAAAAACTTTGCTGTAGGTGAGAGTATTGCCACTCTCACTATCAGCAAGATTATTTAGGGCACCTTTCTCTATTTTCTTCTTTGTGGAGATCCTTTTATTTAAGATTCTCAAGATCGAAATCATTTGGATGGGGCTCATATTGCTGAATCTCTTCAACATATACATCACAAGGCTCTGTTGAGATCTTCTTTGAATTAACTTTCTTACATCCTGGATTCTGAGAAGTACTCAATTTGTGATCCTGAGTTTCTGAATTATTGCTCGCAATTGGAGTAGAGCTCCTATTAAATTAGAAAATCATAACGGTTTCATACCTTGGGCGAGTTGCTGAGAAATAAAATGCCTGCTCTCCTTTCTGGTCACTAATATATGCATTCTCTTCTGTATTCTCGTCGTCATCCTCTTTGAATGTAGCACTCATGATCTGAGAAATATTCTCAGATCATGATTTAATAATTCCAGAATTATTATGGTGATTTCGTCCCAATGTTTGCCTTTTAATGGAACTGTCATAATTTTTATAGTTTTGAGGCTTGTCTCTGTGAAGATTGGGATGAGAGCATACCTTTTTAGTTATGAGAGAAGGACTCAAATGCTCTCTGAGATATCTCCTTAGACTCACTCACATCTTCGATAATATGAAGATCTGTGACCTTGGCTCTATTGTTTTGATTCTTAATGCTAGTGCTAGAATTATTTTCATCATAGACTTTAGTGTTATGATAAAATTCATTTTGAATATTTTGAGGCTCATCAGCACCTTTAAGCACAGCCTCAGAAGAATAAGTATTAACATCCTTCTGCTTCCAATTTGAAGAAGCGGTAATTCTAAAGCCCATCTCCTGCTCTGCTTCAGGGGAGAGGCTATTTTTGGCTTCTTCATTACTTTCCAAATACTCGTCTTTCATATCAATATTATGTTGTCTATTTTTACTGACCAGGAGGGATCCTTTAGATACCTCATCATTAAATTCTAGTATACTTCCTTTGGTCTTCGTGTCAGACTGATTCTTCTTAAACTCTCTCTCATGAGGGTCTTCAGACCTGGAACTGTTAAGATGATCTTTGCTTTCCTTTTGCTCTTCAGAGCCAAGATGGAGTCTTACTTCATTCATTTTCTCTTTCATCTGCTGTTGCCTTTCTCTCTTCTCTACTATGTATTCATAAGTCGAGAGTCCCTTCTTCTTGAGCCAAGCATGCAAGGAAAGTAAGTTTACGATCGCAAGCAAGGGAAGTAAATTGAGGCAGAATAGGGCAATAGTTGCAGCTAAAAATCCACCAGCATCTGATTTTCCATAGATATCACCTATGGAATTCTCGTACTGACTCCTATTTGTAAAGAACTCGATAACTGAGTAGAGCAAGATGATTAGGTAGCAGGATTGGAATATCAGGATAGATATTCAGAGGTAAATGAAGAGTTTGTAGTTCACATCTCCTACTCAATTGTTTAGCCATTTTCAATGATGATCAAAGTTAGCAACTCACCTATTTCATTGACCTCAATGTTTTGAGTTGTTAGACACATTACTTTCACAAATTTTTCAATAAAAAGCATATTCTGGGGAAGGTTCTTTTATACCTCTCTTGACAACCTCGTCTGTTGGGTCGATCAAAGTTGAAATAATCGCCAAAATAAAGACTACAAGGATCAGGACTGTGAAAATTATTGTAAAAACAACAAAAACTCCTGTATTATGCTTAAAAGAGATCATGACAGCCAAGTAATAGCTGAAGAAGTTTGCAAGGTAAAAAATCCATGCTCCAATTTGAAAAGGATGCCATGGGAACTTCAGTCCATGAGTTCTGACTCTTGAGGATCTCTTTCTTTTAATATCCTCTTCAGTCATTTCACTATTTTCCATCAAGTTATTTTGAATATTCTATAATAATTAAGAAGAGAGGGGTTTTGGGGTTTTGGGGTTTTGGGGTTTTGGGG